GGTGTGTGCTCTGTGGAGGTGTGTGCTCTGTTCAGGTGTGTGCTCTGTGCAGGTCTGTGCTCTGTGCAGGTGTGTGCTCTGTGCAGGTGTGTGTTCTGTGTAGGTGTGTGCTCTGTGGAGGTGTGTGCTCTGTGCAGGTGTGTGTTCTGTGCAGGTGTGTGCTTTGTGCAGGTGTGTGCTCTGTGCAGGTGTGTGTTCTGTGTAGGTGTGTGCTCTGTGGAGGTGTGTGTTCTGTACAGGTGTGTGTTCTGTGCAGGTGTGTGCTCTTTGGAGGTGTGTGCTCTGTGCACGTGTGTGCTCTGTGCAGGTGTGTGCTCTGTGCAGGTGTGTGCTCTGTGCAGGTGTGTGTTCTCTGGAGGTTTCTTCTCTGTGGAGGTGTGTGCTCTGTGGAGGTGTGTGCTCTGTGCAGGTGTGTGCTCTGTGCAGGTGTGTGCTCCGTGGAGGTGTGTGCTCTGTGCAGGTGTGTGTTCTGTGGAGGTGTGTGCTCTGTGCAGGTGTGTGTTCTGTGCAGGTGTGTGCTCTGTCCAGGTGTGTGCTCTGTGGAGGTGTGTGTTCTGTGCAGGTGTGTGCTCTGTGCAGGTGTGTGCTCTGTGGAGGTGTGTGCTCTCTGCAGGTGTGTGCTCTCTGGAGGTTTCTTCTCTGTGGAGGTGTGTGCTCGGTGGAGGTGTCAGCTCTCTGTAGGTGCAGACTGTGTCTGTGGAAACAGTGAGGAATCGGTGTTCTCTGGTGACAGTTTCCCTTGCCAGCCTGGAAGATGCCTTTATTCCTGGTTCTAGAAATGATTAGGCAGTGATGCTGCATGCACAGGGTACAGATGCAGGTGTCTCCTTCCCATAATCCTAGGTACTTAGGAGACAGAGATCCAAAGAATTGTAGTGTGAGGTCAACCTAGGAAGAAAAGATTTTGAGTCCATGTCAGTTGATGGCTCTGCATCGTGATGGATTTGTCATCTCAGCCACTGAAGGAGCATGCATGGGACGCTGTGCTTCAGGCCCGCCTGGGCACAGGGGAGGGCCCAGTCCTAAAATGAACAAAACGGGCTATCAGGGTGGCTCAAGTGGTCGAGCACCTGAGCTCATTCCCCAGTGGGCCACACTGCCCCCCCCCAGCCAGTCCACGGGGAAGGAGGAGGTCTGGGGAGCTGTCCTGTGTCCCCACCCCCATCCATGTTGTTGCTGTCTTCTGTGGCTTTGGGGCTTCATGACCAACTCCAAAAGCTATTCCTTAGTCTGAGCGTAGAACATGTCTATCCAGAAACTTCTAGAAGGAATTTCCTAGGCCTGGTTTGAGGGGGATGGGAGCCAACTGCAGCCTCTGCAGACCCCGCCTGCAGCAGCTCCCTTCAGAGCAGCAGCCCGCCCCAGCACGCGCCCTCCATCCACCCGGCTGCCTGCCCCGCGCTCCATGTTCCTCTCACCTATCCTCCACGCGCAGCTTCCCGCACACGCACGCACACGCACACACGGAGTCATCACCACAGCCCTCCACCCGCAGCTACACACACACACACACACGCACGCACACGCACACACAGAGTCATCACCACAGCCCTCCACCCGCAGCTTCCCACGTGCACACACACACACACGCACACACACACAGAGTCATCACCACAGCCCTCCACCTGCAGCTTCCCCCCCGCACACACACACGCACACACACATGCACACGCACATGCACACACACACAGAGTCATCACCACAGCCCTCCACCCGCAGCTTCCCGCGTGCACACACACGTGCACACACACGTGCACACACACGCACACACACACACGCACACACACAGTTATCACCACAGCCCTCCTCCCGCAGCTTCCCCCCCACGCACGCACACACACACACACCACATACACACAGAGTCATCATCACAGCCCTCCACCCGCAGCTTCCCGCGTGCACACACACACGCACGCACACACGCACACGCACACACGCACACACACACAGTCATCACCACAGCCCTCCACCCGCAGCTTCCCCCCCACACGCACACACACACACACACCACACGCACACACACACGCACACACGCACACACACAGAGTCATCACCACAGCCCTCCACCCACAGCTTCCCGCGTGCACACATGCATGAACACACGCACACGCACATGCACACGCACACACACAGAGTCATCACCACAGCCCTCCACCCGCAGCTTCCTGCGTGCACACACACACACATGCACACACACACACAGAGTCATCACCACAGCCCTCCACCCGCAGCTTCCTGCACACACGCACACACGCACACACACACATGCACGCACACACACACACAGAGTCATCACCACAGCCCTCCACCCGCAGCTTCCCGCACACATGCACACACACACACATGCACGCACACATGCACACACACACACCCACACACAGAGTCATCACCACAGCCCTCCACCCACAGCTTCCCGCACACACGCACACACACACACGCACGCACACACACACACACACACACACACACAGAGTCATCACCACAGCCCTCCACCCGCAGCTTCCCACACACAAGTTCCTAACCCCCGGTGGGCGCTGCCTGGAGGAAGCCCCATCCGTCTGCTGGACACGGTGCTGTTCTGGTCATCCTCCCCAGCCTCGCGGGGCAGCCCCGCGTGCGTGGCCGTGCCGTGGCTTCGGGCCCTGCGGGCCTCTCCGATGTCTGTGTGGAGGACGTGGGGTGTGTGACCGGTGGGGCATCGCGGCTGGGCGCAGGGGACATGCCTTCTCAGTCCTCCTCTCCTCGGCCTGTTTCCAGGGAGAGCCAGGGCCACCCGGGCAGATAGGGCCAGAGGGCCCTGGAGGTCAGCAGGGGTCACCAGGGACCCGGGGCCGTGCCATCCAGGGGCCCATGGTAGGTGCTCCCCTCCCCCACCCTTCTCCTTCCCCTCCCTTTCCCCCGCTGCCCAATCTACCTTTCCCTCCAGGGTCCGCCAGGGGTCAAAGGAGAAAAGGGGGACCACGGACTCGCGGGCACGCAGGTACCTTGCGCAGGGCTCTGGCGGGGCACAGGTCGGACTCCTCTGGTATGACCTTGGCCACTGCCCCGTGCTTCTGTTCCCTCCAGGGCCACCCTGGCCAGCCAGGCACCCCTGGGAGAGCCGGCCTCCAAGGGCCCAAGGTACGGGCTCGCACCCAAAGGCACTGAGTGACAAGGAGAGCTGACCTGGGGGCAGCGAGGGACAGAGGCTTGGCGTCAGGCTAGGAGGAGGCTGTGGACAGAGACTGTGGAGTCAGGAGGAGGGGAGGCCGTGGATGGAGGCTGTGGGAATCGGGAGGAGGGGAGGCCGTGGACGGAGGCTGTGGGAATCAGGAGGAGGGGAAGGGAGGCCGTGGACGGAGGCTGTAGGAATGGGGGAAGGGGAGGCCGTGGACGGAGGCTGTGGAAGTTGGGAGGAGGGAAGCCGTGGCCTGGTGGTGTGGTACTGTGCATCTGGGACAAGCACTGTGCTGTCCTGGGGCTTTTGGGGATGGGCAGCGGCTTAGAGGGAACAAGTGGGTGCCCACTCCACCTTCTGGGGTGGTCGCCTGCATCCATCACGGGGTGAGGCCCTGTGTGGGACTCTGGTGAGTTTGCCCTTCCTCTGCCCATCAGGGAATGAGAGGACTGGAGGGACCGGCCGGCCTGCCTGGATCCCCCGGCCCCAGGGTAGGACCCCCCCCCGGCAGGTGGGAATCTGGGAAGATGGGACCGGTGGTGGCCTGAGGAGTGCGGCTTCCACCGCGCCTTCTGCAGGGCTCCATCTGCCCGGAGCTCAGCGCCCGTGCCGGGCGCTCATTCCTGGAGCCCCACACAGCCCCCTCGCACCTGTACCCCGACTCCACAGGGCAGAGCACGGGGTCCTGGCTGGCCAGGAGGGGGCAGGTGTGCTGGGTTAGCTGCCCCTGGGCTTCCCGGGGTCTTTGCTTTGGGCTCAGTACCAGGGGACCCCAGGGTAGGGTCTCGGGCAGCTGAGGGGGTGCTGGGCCCTGCCGGTCAGCCAAGCACAGCCTGGCTCTTCAGTGCAGAAGTGCCGCGGGCCACTGGGGAATGGGGGTCAGCCCTGGGCCCTGAGAGGGGCGGGGTCAGCCCTGGGCCCTGAGAGGGGCGGGGTCAGCCCTGGGCCCAGAGAGGGGCGGGGTCAGCCCTGGGCCCAGAGAGGGGCGGGGTCAGCCCTGGGCCCAGAGAGGGGCGGGGTCAGCCCTGGGCCCTGAGAGGGGCGGGGTCAGCCCTGGGCCCAGAGAGGGGCGGGGTCAGCCCTGGGCCCAGAGAGGGGCGGGGTCAGCCCTGGGCCCAGAGAGGGGCGGGGTCAGCCCTGGGCCCTGAGAGGGGCGGGGGCTGGGGCAGGCTCAGGTGCCTGGCTTTGCTGACCAGGGCAGGGGCGCTGGATGTTCAGGTCCAGACTGGAGGGTCACCTCCCTCAAGGCTCACATGGAGCCCCAACTTCTCCATCCCTGCAGGGGCTCCAGGGCCTGGCAGGGAGCAGGGGCTCCAATGGGGAGCGAGGGCCCCCAGGGGCCGTGGGACCCACGGTAAGTGGCCTCCTGCCCAGCCAGAGGGCGTGCAGGCTCAGGGCTCCCTTCCTGAGGCCCGGCCTGCCCTGTGCCCTCCAGGCTGGGGGCAGAGCAGGGGAAAGCCACATCCTGGGCTCTGCACCCTGGCAGGCATCTTGGCTGTGGCACGGTGGGGCTCTAGTGGCTCAGTGGGGGAAGGGACTGAAGAAGGCAGAGGTGGCGGTGTCCGACTCAGGCCTGGCTCTGGTGGGCTGGGGGAGAGGGGAGGGAGCGAGCAGACACTCCCCAGGCGGAGACCCCGAGGTTCCAATGTTCACCTGCCGCAAAGCCCCCCCCACCCCCGTGGGGACGCTGTTCTGCCGAAAGCCGGCCCCACCCAGGCTGCTCCCCATGGGGCCACCATTGGGCCCCCAGTGGCCTCTGCTCCTGGGGCCTTGGCTCTGCCTGGCCTGGGCCGGGATCCCAGGCTGCATGGGGGTCCTAGCCTGCGGCACCTGCGCTGCTGACCGTTTTCTGCATTGCCTCCTGCCGCAGGGGCTGCCGGGGCCCAAAGGGGAACGCGGAGAGAAGGTGGGTGTGGCTGAGAAGCGGGGTGCTGGGCTCCGGGCGGGCCGCCGGGGTGCCCCAGGTCCCTGGCCACGGATCTCAGAGCCATGGCTTCCTTTCAGGGAGAGCCACAGTCACTCACGGCTATCTTCCAGCTGGTGAGCCAGGCCTGCGAGTCGGCCATTCAGAGTGAGTGAGGCGGGCTGTCCGTCTGCGTCCTGGGCGCGAGTCTGGGCTGGCTGACGCCCGCTGACGCCCGCCGAACCCACCCTCTCCCAGTGCATGTGCGGAGGCTCAACTCCTTCCTCCACGAGAACGCCAGGCCCCCAATGCCCATCCTGGCGGGGACCGCGGAGCCCGGCGGGCCTGGACCAACGTCCACAGACAGGAGCCGCGAGGATCAAGGTGCCAGGCGCCCACCAGGGTGGGGAGTGGGGAGCCCTGCTTCCTGTCGGGAGTCAGCTGAAGCCCCCCCGAAGTTGTCGTCAGGGGACTGGGCAGCCTGGGTGCCCGTGGTGCCCACAGAGCCTGTGCCCCGGCCTGGAGCCGGTGATGGGAGCGCATGGGGCTCAGAACCCAATGAGCTGCTGCCCTAAGCTTTCAGCTCTCTGAGGGCTGGACCTGCTGTCCGCCCCAGCACCCCGGCCCCCAGAGCCCCAGCCAGACCAGAGGGGCAGGGGAAGCAGTGCCCCCCCTCTCCCCCATCCTCTCAGGTGAGCCGGCAGCCATTGGTCAGACGGGCAGCCCCGGGCTGGGGGGGAGCCAGCCTCCAGCCCCCCTCGGATGAACCGGTGAGTTCTGGTCACTGCGTCTTCCAGGAACATGTCCCAGAAGGAGGAGCAGCTGGGCAGGACATGCCCAGAGGGGACAGAAAACTACGGGATTGTACAGGGTAGGGGAATCGAGAGCAAGGCCAGCATCATCAAGGTGCAGCCGGGCCTCTGTGCAGGCTCTGGAGGGATCCAGGCCTCTGTGCCAGGCTCTGGAGGGATCCGGGCCTCTGTGCCAGGCTCTGGAGGGATCCGGGCCTCTGTGCCAGGCTCTGGAGGGATCCAGGCCTCTGTGCCAGGCTCTGGAGGGATCCGGGCCTCTGTGCCAGGCTCTGGGGGAAGCTAGGCCTCTGCCAGGTCTTGGAGCTGGTGTCCAGGTGTTCCAAGGGTCACCTTCTCTCCTTCCAGGTGTTCGCGGTACTACCCTGGCTAGCCCTGTGCTTCATCCTGGGCTTGGACAGACACGGAGCGTGGAGACCTGGGAAGGAGTAGACGGGAGGAGGGAAGCCGGGGTCTTTGTAGCCCTCTGAGTTCACATAAATGCCACTGCAGAAACGCTGCCGGGCCTGTCCCGGGAAGGGGCCTTGCTCTGCGCCTCCACCGCTCCCGGCAGGGTTCTCCACTCCTTCCTCCCTCCTGCCTCAAGACAGTGAAGCGCTGGCCCTCCCACCACCCACGGTGCCCACGGTGCCCCCCACTCCCAGACAGTGAGGGCCTGGCCTGGACCGGGTCCACAGGGCGCGTGTCAGGACACAGCATCACCGGGGGAGAGGCTGGGGCAGGGCGCATGTCAGGGACGCACAGAGTCCTGGGTGGGGGTCAGGACAGAGGGCACTGCAGGGTCCTAGCCCCGCTGTGGATGCCCACCTCTGTCCCCACCCCAGACCAGATCCTAACGTCTACCACGCGCCACCCAGCCTCGGCTGGCCTCCTGGTGGGGAGTGGCTTGCGCCGGGGGCACGGCGGGCACACTGCTGGTGCGAGCACCCAGGGGGCTGCGTGGCAGAGCCTGGCAGGCCGAGGAGGCGCCACCGCGTTGTGGAGCCAAGCAGGGGAGGGCTGGACGTCACGCCACATGGCTCACGAAGCTTCGCCGGCCGCTGCTCACTCACGAGCACACGCAGGAGGAGGAGGGGCGCCGGCGAGAACCCCTGCAGGCATGCCAGAGCAGCCCTGTAGCGGCCCAGGCACGGGTCACGGGCCAGTCCTAGCTGGGGAGCAGGGTAATTTGGGGTGCTGTGGGCCTGGCCATTCCCTGGGACAGGAAGGGGGAGCGAGCATTGGTGTGGACTCGCACTCAGGGAGGGAGGAAGCTGGTCACACCACGACGGCAGAACAAGCTGCAGATAAGCCAGGCCTGAAGGTCAGGAGAGCAGGTCACGGGCAGATGAGGTCCAGCAGGGTCAGGAGTGGAGGTCACGGGCAGGTGAGGCCCAGTAGGGTCAGGAGTGGAGGTCACGGGCAGGTGAGGTCCAGCAGGGTCAGGAGTGGAGGTCACGGGCAGGTGAGGTCCAGCAGGGTCAGGAATGGAGGCCACAGGCAGGTGAGGTCCAGCAGTGTCAGGAGTGGAGGTCACGGGCAGGTGAGGCCCAGCAGGGTCAGGAGTGGAGGTCACGGGCAGGTGAGGTCCAGCAGGGTCAGGAGTGGAGGTCACGGGCAGGTGAGGTCCAGCAGGGTCAGGAGTGCAGGTCACGGGCAGGTGAGGCCCAGGGTCAGGAGTGGAGGTCATGGGCAGGTGAGGTCCAGCAGGGTCAGGAGTGGAGGTCACGGGCAGGTGAGGTCCAGCAGGGTCAGGAGTGCAGGTCACGGGCAGGTGAGGTCCAGCAGAGTCTGGAGTGGAGGTCACGGGCAGGTGAATGCTTATCCTGGTGAATCCCCGCTCCTGACTCAGTGGACTTGGACCCATGGATTCCCTGGAACCCCCATGGTCCTGAGAAGATGGTGCGGCCCCTTTTCCTGCCCCTCAGAGACCAGTCTTGGAGGATCTGGCATGGAGGCAGCATACCAAGAGCCTGCCAGGCTGTGGTGAGCACTCCAGAAACACCCCGCCCCACACATGTGTGCACTTGTGAACAAGCATGTCCACACTCAACACGGTGCGTGTCTGCGTGAGTGCGTGGACATGTGTCTTGTGCCTTTGTCTGCGTGTAACATGTGTGCCTCGGCGTGTGCATCTACACCAGCCCATCTGTAAACCTGACCTTTATGGAGGTAGATGTTGACAAAATGAACGTGGAGAGAACACTAGGACTCACTCCACACTCACCAGCTGCTCAGGCCCACCTGAGCCGCGGGACAGGAACCTGCCATGTCTCCCTGGGAGCATTTCATTCATTCAGTTTCTCAATCTTCATTAAAAGGTAAGACAAGCTGTGTTCGCTCTCAGCTATGATCACGTAATCCTAGACCCGAAATGGGCCCACAAGCCTCACCAGCCCTCCACAGGCCGTGTGGGGCCCGCCGGGGAAAGGGTCGGTGGTGTGGCCCAACAGTGAAACACCCCAGTGTCTGAATCCACAAATGACCATTGGAAGACACAGGAGCCCCTGGACTGCGGTCGTGCAAATCTGAACACTCGGCCCTTGGAGGCAGAGACAGGAGGACTGCGCGCTCAGGACCAGCCTGGCCGAGTGTGTGAGGCCCACTCCCGAGACAAACACTCAAAATCAAGTCACTTGAGTGTAAACACTTCCAAAAGCATAGAGACACAGATCCTCAGGGCGGGCAGATTTCTTAAGCAGTGTACAGGAAAGGAAAAACTATGATACTTCATCAAAATTAAAAGCCTTTCTTCAAAAGACAGTATTAAGAGCAGGAGAGGACCGAGCCGAGAGACAAGAAACTCCTGCATCTGCCAAGGGCCTGTGTGGGGTAGCAACCCAAACCTACGAAAGCACACGACTTGCAGCCATGACCAGAAGACACTGAGAAGCCAGCATGGAAGGCCTCCAGGGCAACAGCATGCAAGCGGCCGGGCAGCAGGCGGGGAGGGCACAGGGAGGCCGAGGGCACAGGGACGGCTGACACTACATGCCCTGGGTGGCCGGGTGCTGGGCGAAGCGGCAGTGCCAACGAGGGAACAGAGGCCAGTGTCACGCAGCCGGTGAGCCTGCTAAGGATGGCCTGCACCAGCCGAGAGCAGCGGCGCCCTGTGCAGCAGCTCCACGTGGGAATAACCACGTCCAGCCCTGAGCACGTGCTGGATAAAGACCCCAGGAGATTCTACCAGGAGAAGCCACGAAGTCCACGGTGAGAGAATCAGGCCAGGGCCCCACAGCTCAGTTCCGTGCTGATGGGACACCGCAGTCTCAGGCAGACACGAGGCTCAAGCAGCAGGGCTGGAGGGAGGGTGGTTCACGCCCAGCCAGAGGAGAGCCAGGGAGGCCTCGGGGCCTGGGGCGGGCTCAAAGCCAGAGAGAGAGGCGAGGATGTGGTGGTGCCAAGCCGGTCATAAAGCTTGAAAGCAGGGCTGGAAGGCGACTCAGTGGTAGCATGCAGGAAGCCCTGGGTTCCATTCCTCAGCACCACATACACAGAAAAAGCCTGAAGTGGCGCTGTGGCTCAAGTGATAGAGTGCTAGCCTTGAGCAAAAGAAGATCAGGGACAGCGCCCAGGCCCAGAGTTCAAACCTCAGGACTGGTAAGAAAAAAAAACTCCAGAGCACACAGGGCTGAGCGAGGGGGAAGGAGCAAGGGGGCGGAGCGAGGTGCGGGGCAAGGGGCGGAGCGAGGGGAAGGAGCAAAGGGGCGGTGCGAGGGGCGGAGCGAGGGGCGGAGCGAGCGGCGGGGAGAGGGGAAGGAGCAAAGGGGTGGAGCGAGGGGCGGAGCGAGGGGCGGAGCGAGCGGCGGGGAGAGGGGAAGGAGCAAAGGGGTGGAGCGAGGGGGTGGAGTGAGGGGCGGAGCGAGGGGCGGAGCCAGGGGAAGGAGCAAAGGGGCTGAGCGAGGGGCTGAGCGAGGGGCGGGGCAAGGGGCGGCAAAGGGGCTGAGCGAGGGGCTGAGCGAGGGGCGGGGCAAGGGGCGGAGCGAGGGGAAGGAGCAAAGGGGCGGAGCAGGGGCGGAGCGAGGGGGTGGAGCGAGGGGCGGAGCGAGGGGCGGGGAGAGGGGAAGGAGCGAGGGGCGGAGCGAGGGGCGGAGCGAGGGGCGGAGTGAGGGGCGGGGAGAGGGGAAGGAGCGAGGGGCGGAGCGAGGGGCGGGGCGAGGGGCGGGGAGAGGGACCGGGAGAGGGGAAGGAGCAAAGGGACGGAGCGAGGGGCGGAGCGAGGGGCGGAGCGAGGGGCTGAGCCAGGGGGAAGGAGCAAAGGGACGGAGCGAGGGGCGGAGCGAGGGGCGGAGCGAGGGGCTGAGCCAGGGGGAAGGAGCAAAGGGGCGGAGCGAGGGGGCAGAGTGAGGGGCGGGGCGAGGGGTGGAGCTCCACCACTCTGGGACAGCAGCTCTGCCCTCTCCGGACTCCGCAGGAAACACAGAAAACCCACAAGGGCAGGGAAGACCCAAGCACCGTGGATGCTCAACGGCACCTGGCCAGCATTTCTAGAACATTTCTTGGAACAATAGAAAACATCATGTTCTTTCCCGGTACGTGAGGAATGGTGGCCAAGAGCAACCGTGGGGCCTCCAAACGTGGCAGGCTCAGAAGAGCTAGGTCAACAGGAGAGTTCTCCAACTACCAAGAACTCAGTCGGAAGAGGAAACTTGACAAAGGACAATGGGCATCTTCACGGAGAGACACCAGCCATGGAAACCTCACGGCAATTAGGTGAGTGCAATTCAGGCTGAGGTGAGAGAACCAATCCCCTAGGCTGGCAAAGCCCCTAGGAATCCTTGGTCTGGTCCGAGCACGGGGCCTGGTGCTGAGAATCGCTCGTCAGCAGCGAATGAGCCCCAGCTGCTCACCCAGCCACTTGTCCTGCTCTGCGTCCGCCAGGAAAATACGTTCCTCAAGACGAATTCGCGGCCGCATGGCCCCTAAGCCTCAATTAGAATCGACAGGAGCATCACTCCCCAGTATGCCAGGCTACAGGTAAACCATCGCCATGCGCAAATGCACACACGGCCACACGGAAGCACACATGGCCACACGGAAGCACACACATGGCCACACAGAATCACACACATGGCCACACGGAAGCACACACGGCCACACAGAATCACACACATGGCCACACAGAATCACACACATGGCCACACGGAAGCACACACGGCCACACAGAATCACACACATGGCCACACAGAATCACACACATGGCCACACAGAATCACACACATGGCCACATGGAAGCACACACGGCCACACAAAGCACACGCATGGACATACAGAATCACACACATGGCCACACGGAATCACACACATAGCCACATGGAAGCACACACGGCCACACGAAGCACACGCATGGACATACAGAATCACACACATGGCCACACGGAAGCACACGGCCACATGGAAGCACACACATGGCCACACGGAAGCACATGGCCACACAGAAGCACACACACGGCCACATGGAAGCACACACATGGCCACACGGAAGCACATGGCCACATGGAATCACACACATGGCCACACGGAATCACAGACATGGCCACACAGAAGCACACACGGCCACACGGAAGCACACACATGGCCACACGGAAGCACACACATGCACAGAAGTGCGCGTGAACTGCTGCAGCAGCAGGCGATGCCCAAGTCTGTAGGGAGGGCACCCCATGATGGAACCCAAGCCCCGCTCGCTGACGGGCCAGCTCTGAGAGAGGCGGCCTCTGGGGTGGGGCCCTGGGCAGGGCCACACGCTGAGGTCGGAGGTGCAGCCAGGCCTCAGCTCTTGAGAGGCAGACCCAGGGCGGGAAATGTCAGCCGGGATTAGGGAAATGGGGGCTCCTCTCCACAGACCGGGGGGTGCGAAGGGCACAGGCACAGAAAGCGTTTTTTGCCTTATCTTCGAAATCCCAACACAAACACACTCTGCCGGGTATTAGGTCCTAAGCAGCGTGCTCTCTGCTGTGGTCAAGAAATTAATTTTGGGGGTTACAGCTGACATTTTTCTAGCCGGAACTAGAAGAGACTAGAATAAGAATAAAGCAAGTCAGAGCACAGATTCCCCAGTTGTGTGCAGGCTGTGGACGAATCCGAGGTGCCAGCAGACGCGCCCAGGGAAGCCCAGGCAGTCAGAGTCCCCGTGGCAGCTCGGGGGCCCACATGGCCATGTGCCCGCAGAACCTGCCTTGCACGTGTGGTGTCAGCTTGTGACTCCGTGGCCTGTCCGGGACGAGGGCGCTGGACTTCCTGTGGGGAGAGCGCCGTGCCCAAGCGCCGTGGGCGGTGCCAAGCCGGGACTCGCCCCTCACGGAAGGACGGCTGGGCTCTGCACTGCTCAGAGGCCAGCAGCACCTCCTCCGGGGAGGCCTCCGGTGGGGGCGCGGCCTGCCCGAAGGTGGGAGGCGCAGGAGGGCTGCAGCCACAGCCTCACACAGGGCTCCTTGGCAGGTGGTGAGCCACCGGTCTACAGAGGTGGCCAAGCCCTGGGGTGATCCAGGGCAGGAAAATACCGGCCCGGTGTGAGCTGGCAAGGAGGCGGGCACAGGCCTAGATTGCCCGCTGGCCTTGACGATGAGCGTGAGCCAGCCAGGCGCCCGGAGGCAGCCCGCCCTGGGGCACCGGCCTTGAGCCTGAAAGGCCCTGCAAGAGGACAAGACTGGATCACTGCATACAGATAACAACGCAACACAGGAGACACAGCACGTGCGCACACAGACCCGCACCTGACCCGCACCTGAAAACCATTACAGGAGGGGAACGAGCACACCGAGACTCGGTTTATTCTGACAGAACACAGCTCAGCAACAGAAAGCGGGAAGCACACACAGCAACGCACCGGCACACACAGCACTGCCATGAGCCCGGACACGACCACCGCAGTGAGTTACCAGACGCCAAGGCTCACGCACCGGACCCTGGAGGCGTGGTCTCCAGGTCACATGATGCCGAGGCCCACAGGGGGGGATGGGACGGGGGGAGGGGCTGGGGCTGTCCCACGCCTCACGTCACACCAGGCGTGTGTGCCACAATCAACCTTCAGGCGAAGATGGGGGCTGCCACCCAGGGCTTGGGGCATGGCTGCCTGTCCTCTCTCTGGGCTCCAGCTGCCCTTCGATGACCCTCCGAGTCTCTGACGCGTGCTGGTCTGCTGGGATTCCGGGCCTCGCCTCTGCTGACCCAGAAAGAACAGGGCCGGCCAGTCCCACAGCTGCGCACACAGCTGAGCCACGGATCCGCTTATGCAACACGGATCCCGGCTGATCCGAAGTCTGCGTCTGTGCCCTTCTCCAAGGCCGACCTCCGGTCCCATGTCACCTGCCCCCGGGGCCCCCAGCACCTCGGGGGATGAGGGTCAGCTTGGGGTGTGGCTAGATGGTGGGTGAGAGATGGTGCAGAGCAAACCTGGGCAGTCTCTGTGCCCCGGGGCCCGGGGTTGGCACCCAGGTGACATGTCTCCCGGCCAGGCCTCCAGCTCAGGGCCCGCCTCCCAGGGCACTAGCTCAGAGGTGGTTGGCCAGAGCTGGGTGGCGCTGGTGACACAGCACTTGGAGCTGTCCAGATGCCACGGTTCAGCAGGGACCATGAGTGGCACCATGCGATGGCAGCCGCAGGCTGGGCTCGGGGTGTGCCAGCCCCAGACCTCACCGTGTCTGTCAGTCGAGCACATTCTGCCAGAGGGCAGCAGGGCTGGGCTTCCTGCCCGGGGCCTAGGGACAAGATGGTGGAGGGCACAGGTCCCGCGCGGGGGTGGGGAGGACACAGGGAGATCCGCGGCATCTTCCGTACTCGGTCCTCTCTGGGCTGGGGGCTGTGCCAAGCTGCCCCCCCCCCCGCGGGGACTGTGCTCTCCCGGCCCCTCTGCACACCAGGGGGTCCCCCAACTCCCCTCCAGGGACGCAGAGGCCCCGTGCGGTCCTGCATGCAGGTCCTGAGCAGATCCTGGGCTGCTCTGCCTCCAGCCCCCAACACCCCCGTCCCTGTGGGACCCCGGCCTCCTCTCCCTCCCGTGGTGGGGGCGTCTGGGCCCTCGGGGGCCTAGCAGATCCCAAGGTGGGGATCCTCCGTGTGCCTGGGGGTCCCAGGCCTCCGGGAGCACTGAGCTCAGCACTGCAGGCCCATCACTCAATGGTGACAGGAAGTCCTTCCTCAAGTCTACCCAGCCCCAGAGGGTCCCCCAGGCTGTGGATAAAGGTAGAGACATGGCGGAGGGAGGGGGGAGGTTGGGGAAGTCGGAGAGTGTTTAGAGCTCTGGGTCTGGGCTGGGCTTGGGCTCCACATGGTCCTGGAAAACCCCAGACACAAGTCTTAGGAGTCCGGGGTGGTAGGGCCCTGGAAGGGGAGCCTAGCTCTTGGGGACCAAGGTCTTGCATGTGCGCAGGGTCCTGACCCGAGCTCTATCTGTGTGTGTGTGTGTGTGTGTGTGTGTGTGTGCACCCTCACAAGGGGCCTGACTCGAGATCTCATGTGTGTATGTATGTATGTGCACACGTGGTCCTGACCTGAGGTCTTGGGGGAGAGGGAGTCTAACTATTCTGCAGGCAGGCCCCGGCACAGGCTGGGCTCTTGCTGACGCACCCCAAACCAGACAAAGCAGAGCTGCTTGGACCAAGCCAGACCCTGGCCAGACCCCCGGCCAGACCCCAGCCAGACCCCGGCCAGACCCTGGCTAGACCTCCAGCCAGACCCCAGTCAGACACCAGACAGACCCTGGCTGGACCCCGCCAGACCCTGGCCAGACCCCCATGGCCCTGGCTAGACCCCTGCCAGACCCCCAGACAGACACCAGACAGACCCTGGTCAGACCCTGGTCAGACCCCAGCCAGACCCCCATGGCCCTGGCGCCCCCGACCTTGGGATCTGCCAGGCCCCCCGAGGGAGTGGATGCCCCCACCTTGGGGGGAGGGGAGGCGGCCTCCAGGGACGGGCGGGGGCTGGGAGGCAGAGCTCGTGCCGGGGCGTGCAGGATGTCTGCCATGCGCGGGAGTGTGTGGATGGCAGGAGGTGGGTATTGCCTGCTGTAGGAGCTTTAATCGGGCTCAGGGTGCGACTCTGCCCTGCGAGGAGCACAGACCGGCCCCCGCTGACCACTGCTGTCCAGTCCCGCAGGCCCTGTCTCGCTCCAGGGCTTCAGAGCAGGCTCGGGAGCCGGGGGCGGCAGGCCGGGGCTGGGACCTCCCGCCCGGAGCCAGGAGCATGCAGGCTCAGCCAGCGCCATGGCCTGCAGACCCCGGGCCCCGATCATGTGCCTAGATCATGCCGGCCAGCCAGGGCGGCAGGAAGAGGCCCACGGTGCCCAGCAGGCAGACGATGATGAACATCCAGAGGAAGACACGGTCGATGACCATGGCCACGTACTTCCAGTCTTCCTTCACCTGCAACACAGACACGGTCTGCCGTGGTCCCAAGCCGCCCCAGGAAGGCTCTGTGATGCCTGGCGAAGCCAGCACCTGCTCCACGTGTCCCGGGACGGGCCAGTCCTGACGCCCGAGGGGCGGCGCCCAGCCCCCTGCCCGCCAGCCTGCTTCACCCAGCTCAGCCCAGGGGCCCACAGGGCTCTGAGCACAGGCCAGTGTGTCCCCAAGTGGAGCAGCCCTGTCTGGGGACATGTAGGAAGCAAAGGGCACCTGAGGTCCCAACAGGCCACAGCCTCCTCCCCGGCCCAGCCGAGGCCAGGACTTACCGAGAAGTCCGTGTCTTCTGCCTTCAGGTGGTCTGCGATGTACTGGACGCCCTCCACTGCCCGCGCCAGGGCCGGCGACAGCGGCAGGGGTCTGGGTGGGGCCTTGGTGCTTTGGGTCTTGAGCACAGTGACTGGGAACACAGCGGAGGGCTCCTTGCACGAGCATTTGCACGGAGACGGCTGGTCTGGGGTGGGAGGCTTGGTCCAGCAGGCCTTCGGGGGCGTTGGGGAGCCGGCCAGCTGGCCCTCGGCGGGAGGGGGGCCGTCTCGGGGAGCACAGTACTGGATGCTCCGAGACCGGAACCGGACACTGACCTCCACTGCCTCCCCGGGGCTGGACACGAGCTGGGCACTCAGGGACCTGGCTTTGACAAGCCCCGGCGCCCCGGCCCCACCGGGTGGCCCCCGCGGACCGGGCGAGGGACAGGGGCTGGTCTTCTCGGCGTCTAAGAGCTGTGGGGCAGGGGCCTGGTCAGAGGGCGGCTTGCAGACGGGCGGGGTCTCCGCCGGCGTGTCCGAGCAGACACGGGAGGACGGGCTGGGCGACAGGCCACGGTTGTCACTTAGGACGTTAGGCTGGCCCTCCGGTGGGGGCCAGAAGCGGGGGGCGCTGGCCATCTTGTGCATGGACTCGATGAGCCGCCGGCAGTTGTCTTTAACGACGGACGGCCTCTTCATGAAGAGCAGCCGTGGCACAATGTCCAGGAAGACCCTGCGCACCCAGGCCGGCATGGTGTGCGTGCGCGGCGAGCGGTGGTGCACGTTGAGCACGAAGACGGTGATGACGATGGACAGCGTGACGAAGATCATGGTGAAGAGCAGGTACTCGCCGATGAGCGGGATGACCAGCGAGGTGGACGGGATGATCTCGGTGATGAGCAGCAGGAAGACGGTGAGCGAGAGCAGCACGGAGATGCACAGCGTGATCTTCTCGCCGCACTCGGAGGGCAGGTAGAAGACCAGCACGGTGAGGCAGGAGATGAGCAGGCAGGGGATGATGAGGTTGATGGTGTAGAAGAGCGGCAGGCGGCGGATGATGAAGGCGTAGGTGATGTCGGGGTACACCTCGGCGCAGCACTCGTACTTCCTGGTGTTGTAGGTGCCCACCGCATCCACGATGACCCACTCGCCGCTCTCCCAGAAGTCCAGCTGGTCCACGCGGCTGTGCATGCTCACCAGGTCGATCTTGGCCTTGTCGTAGGTCCAGGACCCAAACTTCATGGTGCAGTTCTGCTGGTCAAAGGGGAAGAAGGTGACGTCGATGCTGCAGGAGCTCTTGTAGATGGCCGGGGGCGTCCACTGCACCCTCCCGTCGTGGAAGAGGTGGGCCTTCGTCAGGTGGGTGACGGCGAAGTCGCCGTCCGCACTGGGCAGGAAGGGAGGGGGGTGAGAGCCTGGCACGGCCGTGCCCCAGCCCTCCCACACCTGCTCACAGGATGTTCCCGCGCAGACGGGCTCGGTCTCAGCCGGAGCCCCCTCCAGCCAACGGTGAGGCCGCAGGGCTCCGTGGAGCCTGGCGGGAGCTCTGGCTGTGACTCAGCTGTGTGCTTTCCGCTACCAGCCGTTCCCAGAACACAGGCGGAAGGAGCCCACAGAACGGCACCGTGGCTGGTGGTCATGTCTGTCTGCAAGAGAAGCGGGACTGGGGCCGGTCCACCTGCTCCCACCGTCTCCACACCGGCCTCCGCCCGCGCAGGGTTCGGGGAGGCTCCGTCGGACTTTGCCGCCCTGGCTTCTGTGGCGTATGAGGAATGTCTGGGGAAGCACAGGCCCTGGAGCCCCCGGCAGGCAGCCTGGAGGCCCTGGCAGGACGGGTGTCCCTGTCCACAAGAACATGCTACGCGGTCCCCGGGGACGGAGACTGTGGACCAGGGGCAGAGGCATCGGACCAGCGCGGCTCAGCCCGCAGCTCTCCCACACACCTCTACCTGCTGGAGGCAAGCAGCTGCGCCCTAGGCCCCTGCCGGGCTTGCTTGAGGTCCAGGCTCTGCCCACGTTCCACCCATGCCCAACAAAGACATGGAAGAGGCAGACTGCAGAGCTGTGCCAGATGCCCCCGGGACCCAAGCCTTCTCTTCCTGCTGGGCAAGACCCAGATCCAGCGACCTCCTTCCCTCACTGGTGGCCAAACGGGAAGGCTGTCCCACCAACGGCCCCCGGAACAGGAAGGCCAAATCCCTGCATGCAAAGGGCAGGACTGTGCAGGGCCAACAGCACATGGGCACCTCCCGCCTCTCGGGTTCTCTGGGGAATTCTCATGTCCGGCACAGAGGCTGGGGGGGAGTGGGCAACAAACAGGAGCTGAGGGCCCTCAGCCCCCTCCTGTGGACAGACCTCCAGCTCTGATCCTCAACCCTTTCCTGTGGACAGATCTCTAGCTCTGACCCTCAGCCTCCTCCTGTGGACAGATCTCCAGCTCTGTGACCCTCAGCCTCCTCCTGTGGACAGATCTCCAGCTCTATGACCCTCAGCCTCCTCCTGTGGACAGATCTCCAGCTCTGTGACCCTCAGCCTCCTCCTGTGGACAGATCTCCAGCTCTGAGCCTCAGCCCTTTCCTGTGGACAGATCTCCAGCTCTGACCCTCAGCCTCCTCCTGTGGACAGATCTCCAGCTCTGAGCCTCAGCCCTTTCCTGTGGACAGATCTCCAGCTCTGCAACCCTCAGCCTCCTCCTGTGGACAGATCTCCAGCTCTGTGACCCTCAGCCCTTTCCTGTGGACAGATCTCCAGCTCTGTGACCCTCAGCCTCCTCCTGTGGACAGATCTCCAGCTCTGTGACCCTCAGCCTCCTCCTGTGGACAGATCTCCAGCTCTGAGCCTCAGCCCTTTCCTGTGGACAGATCTCCAGCTCTGCAACCCTCAGCCTCCTCCTGTGGACAGATCTCCAGCTCTGCGACCTTCAGCCCTGTGCTATGGACAGATCTCCAGCTCTGCAACCCTCAGCCTCCTCCTGTGGACAGATCTCCAGCTCTGCGACCCTCAGCCTCCTCCTGTGGACAGATCTCCAGCTCTGACCCTCAGCCTCCTCCTGTGGACAGATCTCCAGCTCTGACCCTCAGCCTCCTCCTGTGGACAGATCTCCAGCTCTGCGACCCTCAGCCTCCTCCTGTGGATAGATCTCCAGCTCTGCGACCCTCAGCCTCCTGCTGTGGACAGATCTCCAGCTCTGGTCCTTAGGCTTCTCGGTGATATTGTATCTCAATCTGTCCGCTGTGGTAAGTTAGTTGCACTGGCAAACAGCCTCCATGGGGTCCTTCTCTGCTCCTGGGCCCGCCTCAACTTCCCCGGAGCCGAGGTGCCAGCCCCACCCCCGTGCCCGTGGGACCTGGACTGAGGTGCACTCCAGACCTTCCTTCCCTTCCCCAGCCCAGGTCTGCGGAGCGGAGGTGGTGGCGGTACGCCTGCCCCTGCTTCCACACAGGACAATGATGGACACCTGCTCCACACTGAGCTCCCTGAAGCCTGAATGGACCCCGCCAACGCTGCAACACTCACTGTGGGAGCCCCCACGGTGCTGGTCTGACCCTCAGAGGACAGTGCAGCCCTGAACCACAGATTCTGGTGCTTTCTGTTTGCTCTGCTGCCCAGCCCCACTGTTGATTCCTTCCCCCCGGCCGGAGTCAAAGCCTCTGAGCGCTGAGGGGCTTGGGCAAAGGGCGTTGCTCACCTGGGCGTGTGCTCGCTGGCCCTGCGCCACTCGCTGGCCGCCAGATCTGGACCAGTTATAAAGCCATGGTCATCAGCCAGGACCCTCAAGGACCTTCCTGTCACCTCCCCCCCACTGGAGCCCCCACACAGGCCACGAGGGGCACAGAGACCTCATCACCGCCCCCTGCGTCCCAGCCCCTGGTTTCTGCTGGTGAGGAGCCAGACCCTCCCCCCCTCACTCCAGTCCTCCCCGCTGGCCGGACCCCCCCTCACTCCCGCCCTCCCCATTGGCTGGACCCTCCCCCCCCACTCCAGCCCTCCCCATTGGCCGGACGCTCCCCAGGGCACTCCAGCCCTCCTTGCTGGCTGGACCCTCCCCCCCTCACTCCAGCCCTCCTTGCTGGCTGGACCCTCCCCCCCTCACTCCCGCCCTCCCCGCTGGCTGGCTGGCTCTGTGGCACAGGGAAGAAGCGCAGGCGGCGTGTCTCACATCCATCCCAATGAGGCTCTGGCTGGCGCGGCCGGCTGCAGCTTCCTCCCCGCGGAAGCCCGGTTCCCTCTGGATGCGTGGGAGCGGATCTTGCGGCTCCGCTCATTTCAGGCTCCAGTGTGCTTCCTGCTCCCAGCCCCATCTCCCCAAAATCAAAGACTTGCTCCTTCGTGGCACAAATTAAAATTCCCGCACAGCAGTGACCGAGTCCCCTGCCCAGCGACCTCCTGCCAACCGGACGCAAATGGCAGGCTCACTGCTGCCACCAGCCCAGGCCACGGGGGCTGTTTCCATACTCAGAGCCTTCTGCAGGCTCCTGGAGCACTCCCCTCCGCTCCAGACCCGGCTCTGGACCTTACCCTGTGGCCACAGCAGGGGAGGAGTCCAGGGCTCATTCACTGCAGCTGGCCCCGGAGGGACCGACACCTGTGGGCCCGCAGCACCGCTGAGCGCCAGGACAGGGCCGGCTCTCCCGGGCCGGAACCTCATATCTCTGGAGGCAGATGCGTGGGAAGAGCTGGGGCAGGTTGAGAGCGTGGGCTGAATTGTCCCACATGAGCGAGTTCTGGACCCAGGCCCCCCAAGTGCCTAGTGTGTCCCTGAGGTGAGCAAGACCCTCTCCTGCCTGCCTAGCTCCAGATTGGGCTCCCACATCAAAGGGCCACACTTGGGGCCAGCAGGGGTCCCAGTGAAGAGGTCTCCAAGCCCAGGAACCGGCCCCTGGCCTGCTCGGCAGTGGGGCTGACACTGGCGAGGTGGCCTGTCACTCTTGGGCGTCCTCTGCAGCGGCACCAAGCCTGGCATCAGCCGCCCATGCCAGTGACCTTTCGCCCTCCCTCAGACCCGAGGCCGGGGCCAGCCAGCCTCAGCCCCGAGAGGCGCCCGCACCCGTCCTCTCCCAGGAGTCCCGGGGGGAGGAGGCTCGAGGGCAGCGGCGGGCAAGGTGGCATCCCACGCTCCGGTCCTGGTGGATTTGGTCCCTGGCTGCTCACCCGTTCCCCTGCCTGGCCCATCCCGCCCAGGAAGAGTTTGTCCTTCCTAGACCGTGTGTGTCCTCATGGGTCCAACAGGCTGCCCAGGCTTGACCGGTGCGGCCCAGGGGTTTCGGGGAGACAAGTGTGGGCTCCAGGACGCGAAGTTCCAGCCGGAGAGTTAGAGGCAAAAAGCCATCCAGAGGGAGACCAAGAAAGGCCCGGTCCCCACCTGCCTTCGCCTGCCAGCAGTGCCCCCGGAACCCAGCCACTTCCACACACGTATAGTGAGACCATTACCGGCCCCAATGAGGCAGAAGAGCCGGATGCTCTTAATCTGATAGGGCCATTTGTGGGTCAGGAGGACACCCCGGGGCTGGCAGCGGCTGCGGGCGGCCGGCCGGCCCGGCGTGCAAGGGTTCCTTCGCTCCATTTGTCAAGCATTGCAGGAGTCTCTCCGGCCTAAGTGAGACCGGAGGCTCATCCTGGGTGGGTTCAGCTCTGAGCAGGGCTGCGTTGGCTCAGGGGTCCTGGCAAGGCTCGGGGGGGCCGGTGCACGGATGCCAGCCGGCGGGGGCCACGGCCAGTGCCTGGACACAGCACGAGCCACGACACAGCCAGCCTCCCTCCGCTCAGCCTCCACCAGCCTGACAACAGGCTGCAGCAGAGCCAGAAGAGCTGCTTCGCCGACCGGCCTGCCGCCCGCGGGCGCAGCCACCAGGGCGGGCTGAGGAGGACAGACGCAGGGCACTGGGTGCCTCCCGCCTCCTCCTTCCAGAACCTCCTGCGGCCTGCAGAACCCCCACAAGGTTCTGTGCACTGCAGGGAGGGCCCGCCCGCGCCCCCGCCCGAGCGGCCCTGGTTGTGGAAATCACTGGAGTGGAAGGGCCTCGGCCCGCTGTCACCCAGAGGGGCGTCTTAGCGCTCTGCACCCTGGGGGGGTGGTGAGATGGCTCAGAAACCAGAGGCCCCAGGCCAGGGCAGGCAGGCTGGCGCCCCGGCCCCCGCGACCACAGTCAGGCCCCTCCAGCACTGAGCACTGGCCTGGGAATCCCACCGATGCCATGCACGCACGCACGCACGCAGCCCCCCCCCCCCCCGCGGCAGCGCCCTCCGGGCCTGCGCCTGGCTCACTTGTTGTAGAGCACAATGTCCGGCCTCCAGATCAGCTCCGAGGGGATGCGGATGGAGGTGACGTTCTCGTAGTCCCCGGGGTCCCAGCGCAGCTTGTAATCATGCCACTCCTGCGCAGGGAGGGAGAGCCACAGGTGAGGGGCGGGGGCAGCCGGGGGCCCGGGACAGGGAGCCCTGGCCTCTCACCTGCTTCACCCACACATTCGTCGTCATCATCTGGTTCTTCTCATCCTAGAACACAGCAAGAGGAGAATTCAGGATCTATCCGTGTCTCCCGTTCCAGGCTCCCTAGCCACAGCCAAGGGCATGACCGGGGCCACACACCAGAGGGGACCTGGCCCCGGCCATGAGGTGGCCCCTCAGATGGGGTGGCCCTTGTGGTGTCTGTGGTGTGTGTGGTTGAGTGGTATCTGTGGTATCTGTGGTTGGGTGGTGTCTGTGGTTGGGTGGTGTCTGTGGTGTCTGGTTGGGTGGTGTCTGTGGTGTCTGTGATTGGGTGGTGTCTGTGGTGTCTGGTTGGGTGGTGTCTATGGTGTCTGTGATTGGGTGGTGTCTGTGGTTGGGTGGTGTCTGTGGTTGGGTGGTGTCTGTGGTGTCTGTGATTGGGTGGTGTCTGTGATTGGGTGGTGTCTGTGGTTGGGTGGTGTCTGTGGTTGGGTGGTGTCTGTGGTTGGGTGGTGTCTGTGGTTGGGTGGTGTCTGTGGTGTCTGTGGTTGGGTGGTATCTGTGGTGTCTGGTTGGGTGGTATCTGTGGTGTCTGGTTGGGTGGTGTCTGTGGTTGGGTGGTGTCTGTGGTTGGGTGGTGTCTGTGGTTGGGTGGTGTCTGTGGTTGGGTGGTGTCTGTGATTGGGTGGTGTCTGTGGTTGGGTGGTGTCTGTGGTTGGGTGGTGTCTGTGGTTGGGTGGTGTCTGTGATTGGGTGGTGTCTGTGATTGGGTGGTGTCTGTGGTTGGGTGGTGTCTGTGATTGGGTGGTGTCTGTGGTTGGGTGGTGTCTGTGATTGGGTGGTGTCTGTGGTTGGGTGGTGTCTGGTTGGGTGGTGTCTATGGTGTCTGTGATTGGGTGGTGTCTGTGATTGGGTGGTGTCTGTGATTGGGTGGTGTCTGTGGTGTGTGGTTGGGTGGTGTTTGTGGTGTCTGGTTGGGTGGTGTCTGTGATTGGGTGGTGTCTGTGGTTGGGTGGTGTCTATGGTGTCTGTGATTGGGTGGTGTCTGTGATTGGGTGGTGTCTGTGGTGTCTGTGGTTGGGTGGTGTCTGTGGTTGGGTGGTGTCTGTGGTGTGTGGTTGGGTGGTGTCTGTGGTGTCTGTGATTGGGTGGTGTCTGTGGTGTCTGGTTGGGTGGTGTCTGTGGTGTCTGTGGTGTCTGTGATTGGGTGGTGTCTGTGGTGTGTGGTTGGGTGGTGTCTGTTGGGTGGTGTCTGTGGTGTCTGGTTGGGTGGTGTCTGTGGTGTCTGTGATTGGGTGGTGTCTGTGATTGGGTGGTGTCTGTGGTGTGTGGTTGGGTGGTGTCTGTGGTGTCTGTGATTGGGTGGTGTCTGTGATTGGGTGGTGTCTGTGGTGTCTGTGATTGGGTGGTGTCTGTGGTGTGTGGTTGGGTGGTGTCTGGTTGGGTGGTATCTGGTTGGGTGGTGTCTATGGTGTCTGTGATTGGGTGGTGTCTGTGGTTGGGTGGTGTCTGTGGTGTCTGTGGTTGGGTGGTGTCTATGGTGTCTGTGATTGGGTGGTGTCTGTGATTGGGTGGTGTCTGTGATTGGGTGGTGTCTGTGGTATCTGTGGTTGGGTGGTGTCTGTGGTTGGGTGGTATCTGTGATTGGGTGGTGTCTGTGGTTGGGTGGTATCTGTGGTGTCTGGTTGGGTGGTGTCTGTGGTGTCTGTGATTGGGTGGTGTCTGTGGTGTCTGGTTGGGTGGTGTTTGTGGTGTCTGTGATTGGGTGGTGTCTGTGGTGTCTGGTTGGGTGGTGTCTGTGGTATCTGTGGTTGGGTGGTGTATTTGGTGTCTGTGGTTGGGTGGTGTCTGTGGTGTCTGTGGTTGGGTGGTGTCTGTAGTGTCTGGTTGGGTGGTGTCTGTGGTGTCTGTGATTGGGTGGTGTCTGTGATTGGGTGGTGTCTGT